GTCTTCCATGAAGATACATTGCTAATTCATAAGACCTTTTTTTCTCTCTGTCCTTGATGGTAAATCAGAGCACCTCTGTGTGTCCTTGAGTAAAATTATCTGCTCTCAGTCAAAGCCTTTGCTTGAGTGTATCTATATCTAGACGCAGAGAGCAAGGTGCCATACAAATTGGAAATTTGACCACCGAGCTGGAAGAGTATACGCTAATAATCTCTTTGTTTGCAATTATGTGAATTCCACATAATTTTTTATTCAAACCTTCTCTAAATTATGCCTCTGGTCCCTCTAAATCCTAGTGTTTCGCTTTGGGCTTGATCAATCATGTGTGGTTCCTTTTCAACCAGATCTCTTTCATCCTAGGAAACACACTTCCTGTTCCACTGCTTCATTCAGTGCTGAAGGACATATGTGTGGAAGACCACTCAATAAAATCATATTAATATTAGGTCTACAAATGACAACAACAACAACAATAGTAATACAAATGTATTTATTGCCATTAGATCCAATAATAATAATAACAATAATAATAAATCATTGATAAAACACATTTTAATTAAATAAATTATTGTTATTGTTGTCAGTGGAACATGTGAAATATAGATCAAAACAGCCATATGCTTGACTTGTTATTTTATTTATTATAAATTATAATTTAATATAATTTTTTTAACTCCATTTCTACAGTAGAAATGAATATGTTTTCAGTTAAAGTATATGGGCTAAGAGAACCAGTCTCTTTTTCTCAGCTGTTGGCAAGCATAACTTCATGAAATGACAGCTTTGAAATAATGTCTGTGTCATTGAGATCTTTTATGTATTAAATTCGTATTCACAAAGATAGTCTTGTTTTATTGATAGAAATATGTCATTTTGTTTTTGTTACGTCTACAAATTGATATAATTTGCTACTAGGCTCTAAGCAGAGTTTATTGCTGAGAAGCAAAGCAAAATGTTAAAGTTCAAATCCTAACCTGAAGCATGTGAGTGAACTGTAAAATGGATTTATAACATCACACAACTGAGAACTGAGAGCAGAGAAATTATTAAATGCATTAATAATGTTGACTTCTAATGGATGTCACCATCTGACTATGAAGACAGAGATGGAAAGTAATTTAAAAACTTTTGGGAAGAGAGAAAAAATTCAGGATTCTCATCGAAAGGACTGCTTTAAGTAAGCACTTATTTCTATTAAATCAAAGTAATTTAAAATTAAGAAGAAAAGAGGTGAAAGGAAAAGAAAGAGATGTCATCTGTTGGATGAATGGCGAAATGCATGTGTGAAAACTTAAAACCTTTCATATCAGTCATCTGACTGTTACCACTTTAAAAATTCAGAAAGCAACGTTTACAACAGTTTGCATCATTTAGCATGTGTCCTGTTTCTATTCTTCCATCACGTTGCAGATATGCCATTAAGTGTGTGTCTGTGTTTGAGACACTGCACAAAACATCTACACTCATCTGTTTCTTATTTTAACCTCATTTCACCAGGCCTACTTTGTTCTTCTGTTACTCTCCATTTCACGCTATATTCATATTTTAACATCCTCTGTAACTTTCTTTACATTTCTTTCTTCCTATTCTCTTTCTAGCCAACTAATGGTGAAAGGACAACTGCTATTAACCATGTATTCCATTAATGCTGGAATATTTTAAGAGGTATTTAGACACTTAAAGAAATAGTTGACCCAGAAATAAAAATGTTTTTTTTATTAACCTTGGGCTGTCCAAGATTTAGGATTGTTTCTTCATCTAAACAGATTTGGAGTAATTTTGAATCGCATCACTTGGATCCTCTGCGGTGAATGGGTGCCATCAGAATGAGAGTGTAAACAGCTAATAAAAGCGTTGTGTTTGTAATAAACAAATCCATCAAGACTTTTTTAACTTCTCTCCTCAATCCATAATATTGATTTCTCGAGTGACAAAGTTATCAGGAGAGAAATATGCACAGATCAAAGACTGTTTACAAGTGAAAACAATTCTAAACAAATATGTTGGTGGACTTAAATGTGAGAGGACAACAGAAGATGGACTTTTCACTGAAGTGTTTTTTTTTTTTTTGGTCAGAAGCAACATTTTAAAGTTAAAATGCCTTAATGATTGATGTGTCTCTTATAGGCACACAGCTTTTCACTTCACGAGACATTGATTGATGGACCGGAGTTGTGGGGATTACTTGTGGATTATTGTCATGTTTTTATCAGCTGTTTAAACTCTCATTCTGATGGCCCCCATTCACTGCAGAGGATCGATTGGTGATCAAGTGATATAATGTAAAATTTCTCAAAGTCTGTTCTGCTAAAGAAACATACTCATCTACATCTTGGATGGCCTGAGTGTGAGTAAATATTAAGCAAAGTTTTTATTTCTGGGTGAACTATTCTTTTAAGTAACAGGAAACTGACCATATCTATGACTTGGCAGCATGAATGGGCAGAATAAATGCAAATAACTGTGAATCTGGTTTAGGGCATGGGAGCTAACTCTGACACTGCACTGTAAAAAATAATAATAATAAGTGTATGATCTTCGATCAAGGGGTTTTCCACCAAAGACATTACAGTAAGGTTGACAGGAGCAGATGACTTGAAACGTATCAAAATGGTGAGTCACTCGTGTCATTATGGAAATTCACCTAAGGCATCTAACGTTCCACATAAAACACATGTGATATTTACATAGTGATTCTGCCTGCTGCATTCTGACCCTTTTAAATGCATATTAAAGAACCGACCGTGGTGATCAAAGGTGTTGAAAAAAGATTTTGTTAGTGAACAATTACTACACAGATGGATATGGAACACCAAGACAATAGGAGGCTAATAACACATCAAAAGACAAACTGAATTACACACAGATTCATAGCAGAGAGAAACAGGTGAAGCACAGATCACAAGCTATAGATGAAAGCAGAAGAGGGGCTAAAAAAGGACCGATGTCACATGGGCTGGGTAAACAGTGGCTAAAGAGCTTACACTACCTTGTTTTAATCTACCATCCTGTGTAAATGTTAGGTAAAATAACCAAACAATATTTTCACACTTTGTCAATCTTTGCTGATGCAAGCAGATTGGAAAAACCCACTTCAACAGCTAACTCTTCATTCAATATGTCCCACTGAAGAATCTGAGACTCAGAAGTCTTGGGTTATGGACAGAGATTACACCCAATCTGTCAGTATGTACCCATTGCAACGCGGTCCAATATAATCTAATAGGCTCATCGCCCACTCTTTGCTTCTCTCCATAAAAAGTGCATTGTTGTCCTAGCAGTGGCATTAGGCAAGCAAGCCTAATGCAAGCGGTCAGTGGGAGTCGACACAGCTGCTGACAGTGCTGGCTGGAACAGTGCTCAGTATTTGACGAAGCGAAAACATACAGAGCACCGAGCAGCTCTATCTCTGCAGTGTTTAACATATTTCAGGGAGGGGAAAAAACGTTTCTGCTGTTTGTACCTGTAAAGTATTTAAAAAGCAATAGCTATACAAGAGCTGCAGCTGTGTGGTTTTGAGACAAACTCAGAAAGCAGGTATTATGGTGCATAATGAGAAAATACTGATCAGGTGCATGGACCTGCTGTGATTCACTAACTGGTGAGATAGTTTAAGAAGATATAGGGGAGTCTGAGGCAAGCTGTCACACCTTTTACAGTGAATTTTATTTATCATTTATATAATATTTAGACATATAACTTATGTTGTGTGTGTAGACACATTCTGTAGAATCTGTACCTTAAAGTACAGGCTGTAAAAAGCTATTAAACATTTTCACTGCCATTGATTATCCTATTATTACTAAATTGTATAAATGTATAACATTTGAATCAAAAATGGCCAATGAAAAAACATGTGACAACTTGCCCCAACCTAACATTTATGAAAAATAACCTTGTCCTCAGAGCACAGTTCAACCTTTTGGATGAAAATGACACCTTCAACATTTTTCACATTATCACAGTTTATTCGCTATAGTTTAGAAAATGGTAATAAAATATGACAAAAACTCAGAGTTAAACTGTGTCAGAAAATAAATCATCTTGATAATGTCAGATAACTTTGGTAATAAATTAGGCTGAATAGCTGTCAGCTGTTAAATTTAAGTACACAGTTAGATAATACAAATTTAGGTCAACCAATACCAAGCAATGGTTAATTGTCTTCAGCCTGTGGTGTAAAAAGGTCGTATTAGCAATTAAAGAAAAACACTTAAGCAAAACATGGTCAGGTCAAAGTGTCTGAATAATTTTTGGTCCCAAATGTGCATCAGTTTTACTGGTAGTCCACTGTATGAATAATTTTTGGGTATAATATGTCAGAGTTTCATTTTGCTATCCTCACTTACATAAATGAAGTATAGTGTCCTGCACCCACTAGTAAAAAAATATAAAAAATTATATCTAGTGTCTAAATAACTTTTGGTTTGACTGTAGCTAACTGAATAACTGAAGGCAAGTCTGTATGTATGCTAGAGTGGTTTCATTTCATCTTTACCCAACAGCTGTAGCATAAATATATTAGTATAATATTTGAATTTTATTTGAATTTATATCAAGACATATATGAAATAAAATTTTCAATTGATTTAATTATTTTTTTAGAACAAAATTCACACAAAAAAACCCCGAATATTTATTATTATTATTATAATTGATATATTTTGGACGTTTGACATAAAACCTTATATTTAAGTAACACTGACAACTAGGCCCGGTATAAACTATAGCCTACTATTTGCAGCGCATATCAATAAAATAACATTTTTGAAGAATTCTAGTTTTGACAGTAATTCAAATGTGAATTCAGCGTATCTTATCGCATGTATCTGCTAATAAACCAGCAAAATGCTACCAATAGAGGGTGGCGATGAGCAGAGGGTTTTGTTTGCGGTAAATCGGACTAATGCGCCTCCTTTTAAACGCACCAACAACTGCCCCTCGTCCCAGCCCACCTATCTCTCTCTCTCTCTCTTTCTCTCTCATTGCATGGACTTCATCCTAGGTAGTGCACCATTAGAACAGCTGCGTTCCAGTTTCTCCGTCTCTCTCTGACTGCGTTCACTTCCTTACTTTCACCCCTCCCTCCCTCTCGCGCTCTCTCCTCCTCTACATCCTCGATCTCTCAGCAGGAGCAGTTTGTGTCCTGAGAGAACTGGCACCAAACTGACTCATCCATGGGGCGCGCGCAGCATCTTTATTTCACCACATTACAGTTTGAAGTCATATAGGGGGAATATTCACGTCAACGCAGCAAACACACTAGAGTCGTTCGGCGTTTCATCTTCCGGCTTAAAACTCTCAGTCGCACCATATCTGTCTGGGTTTGTGACATTTGTAGCTGTGTTGAGCTGTGGTGATGGATGGGGATGCGTGTGTTCGCGTGTGGGCTCGACCGCTGCAAGAGATGCTCCAGCAGAAGAAGATCAAAGCGCGGAGGAAAAAGCGTAAGGAGTTGTTCGGAGGACAGATGTGCTTCATGGGGCTGCTGCTCCTGGCGTTGTCCGGCTTGTCCAGTTTGGCCGATAATTCCGGTGAGTTTCGGTTCAGGATTTGTCAGGAATGTGTGTTTGTGAAGGCGGAGGGGGGTAATGGAAAGTTTTACGGGAGAATCATACTCGCACTCTAAACTGTTTTAGTTAGAGAACCGTATCGCGTTACTGCATTGAGTTAAAGGGAAACATGCAGAAGCACACTCTGAACTGTTCAATAATGTATGGTTCTCTAAAACTGTTAAACTTCACAGAATTACACAGCTGTTTTAGATCATGTTCGCACTGTTTAAAGAGTCATATAGACTAACCGCTTTAGAGATGCGCACTTAAGACCGTTAACTATTTAAAGAATTTTAATCACATAATTAACAGTTTCAGCGAACTGTATACTAGCTCTATAAACTGTTTAGTGAGCAACTGTTAGAGAACTATGTCAACCGTTGTAGACAGCTGTAGCCTACTCACACAATAAACAGTTTTATACAGGTTAAGACTCTTAACTATTGTTGTTATAAAGAACTGTAGCCTGCTCACAATGTTAAACATTTCAAGAAGAATGGTGCTAACACCACAAAATGTTTTAGAGAGATGTAGTTAGCCTATTGTGAACTATATTACAATATTAACTGCTTTGGAGAACCGTAAAAGCGCTAGAGAACTTAACTGTTTAAGTGAACCATACTCTACATTTAACAGTTGTACAGAACTGTTACTCAAACTGTTAACCACATTAACAAACATGCTCACACTATTAACCGTTTCAGAGAGGTGTACTTGAGACTGTTATATTAAAGATCCATACTTACAATATTAACTGCTTCAGTGAACCATAATAACGCTAGAGAACAACTGTTTAAGTGAACCATACTCTAATAACTGTTACAGACAGCCGTTCTTACACTATTAACCATTATAGAGGTGTGTACTTTATTGTTAACTATTTTAAAGGACCTTACTCAAATTTAACCATTTTGGAGAACCATACTAGCACTCTAATCAGTTTTTGAGAACTGTTAACCATTTAAGTGAACTAATTAACTGTTGTAGACAGTTGTATTTACATTATTAACCATATTAGAGAGGTGTACTTACGACTGTAAACTATTTTAAAGAGCCATACTCTATATATACAATATAAACTGTTAAAAAACTATCATACTGTCACTATAAGCAGTTTAAGACCGCCATACTCTAACAATTAATTCAGAGACATCCATGTACTCATATTATTTATTGTTTCAGAGAATCATACTTACACTTTTTCCCCTGCAATGCTGATAAAGTTTGTGTTCTGACCCATAATACATGTATTGTAGTAAGCCTGTGGTGGTTTACCCACTGATTCACATGCGCTGAAAGAGTTCATTACTGAAGGATTGAACATAAATTATACATTTTTATGTGTGTGTGTGTGTGTATGTATATATACATGTATATAAATTATTATTTTATATAACTAACACAGGGATCCCTGATGATCAAAATCATCTACCTAGATTATAGAAATATGTGCATCTTAAAAATCGCGCCCGCGAACATACGCGTGTGACGTGCGGATGTCAATGCGGGAGAGCTGCGTCTGACCGCGGGTTGTTATTCAAGTTAGCGGTTCTAAATACAAATAAATAAGCGCTAACAGCACATGACATCGTGAAAATAGGGGGAAATATTAACAGTTGACGAAACATATACAGAAAAAATATAACTGTTACCGGATTAACCTGGCTGCCTTCTCACTAGACCCTCTGCTTTGCAGCACAGTTAATTATATGCTAAGGATAGGATCCCTTGACGCGACTGGTTATTGAGTTTTGTGACGTAGCTAAACAAAGGCTGTTTCAAACCGCGTTTCTGTGACTGCCTTTGGGAAACTATTGTTTTAAGGAGAAAATACTCAGCAATGGTGTTGATAAATGGATTGGCACATGGTTTGTCTAAAAGCATATTAAAAACAACACATAGACAAATAAACAACATAAAAAACTTGATTTTCACCACAGGGGGACTTTAAAACTTGAGCTGGACAATGTGGCAGATGTCTGTACCAGTGATGTGTGTAACAGTTTCTCTACCCATTTTCTCAGGCTAACATGTTAAAAGCACTTTATCACTCATGTTTACGTTATAGCAGCCAGGACTTGCATGAAGGTTTTTCCTTAAAAGTTGGCAAATATTAGCATAGAGGCTTTTTTATCAGCTTGTGATTTGTCCGCTCCTTCATCCACGATACCATGCAACCTGAAACCATCCACATACAATACACTTCATCTGGCTGTTCGTATCTTTGCAACTCAGCTAAAAAATAATGGCTCTTTATAATAATCTTACTATTAAATGTATCTCTCTTAAAGCCATTCAGTGTTTGTGCATCTGTCGTAGTACCCTGGCATCATACAAACCAAAAGATGTTTTCGTATAATGCTCTGTATGTTCACTTAAGGGCACCGTATTTGTAGATAATCTTGTTGTATAACATAATTTCCACAACTGTGTACATTGAATTACGGCTGTTGGATGTAACGGATAGAGTATTTTATTTACATATACAGTGTTTTAATATAGAGAAAGATGCTATTTTGCAAATGCCAGGAGAGAAAGCAAAAAAAAAAACAAAGGAGTGGAGAAAGCAAAGAAGTGGATTTGGAGGGAGGAATAGGGAATGATGAAGGCAGGGAGAGATGTGCAGAGAACCTGCTAGCCAGCACAGACATTGATATGATGTGACTGCTCTGTCAGTTGCTTACTGGCTCTGACAGACATGCTGCCTGCATCTGGGCCAGCAAGTCAGGCCTCTGAGCTTCTTTATTGTTTTCTGAGGTTATTTATTTGTCCTTTCTTTTCATAATTTCTCATTTTCTTTCTCTCTCAATCTGTGCTTCTCACTACACTTATCTCTCTTTTGCACTGTTTGGACAGGATTAGGTTTTTTAAATTATTAACAGAGGACATCTGTGATGTCATGTACTGATTTGGACAGGATTTAGATCTCTGTAGTTTTTTTTTTTGGATTTCTGTCATTTTAACCCAGAGAAAGTTGAAAAAAAGGTCTAAATCCATAATAAAGGTGCGCCAGGGGATATAGCTCTAGTTACGATATTAGACAAATGTCATATAAATAATTATTTTTATTAATAAATGAAAAGAAGCCACAAATAATATATACTGCACTATAAAACATTGCTTTCCAGATTAAACTCACATTCCTTGTGAGCCCAGATGCTCTCAGGTACCTGATGTTCATGCATGGCATGCTCTTATCTGGAAGATGGACAGAAAAAGAAAGGGTAAAACAAAGCATAATTGACGGTGTGTTAGATATTCCTATTGTTTTGGATTATTTTGGACAATGCTAGAAAATGGTTTGGCATGTTTTGACTCAAATTTCACAACAGGTTTAAGAAATCCACAGCACTTGGATAAACCTGATGTCTTTAAAGGGGTCCTATTATGCTTTTTCACTTTTTAAATTTTAGTCAGTGTGTAGTGTGTATGTTTGGGCATAAAAAAAGATCTAGAAAGTTACAAATCTCAAAGTCCACTCCAATGGGAAATTTTTCGTTTTTAAAAAATCCCTTTTCAAGAACTACAACGAACGGCTCGTTTGGACTACAGTGTTTGTTTTCCGGGCTTTGTGATACCACAAAGCGACCCATTAGAATATCATTAAAATGAATTCCCGCCTACAGAAATTCGAATGGTTGGGGGGTGGGGAGGGGCGAGGTTGTGGTTAGAACGCTTGGTTGAGTGAGTGCATCAGACGAGACGACGAAGAAGAAGTGCTGCTGCAGGGTTTGTGCATCAGAGAAAACGAAAAAGAAGAGCTGCTGTGCTGTAGCTTCAAATTTTCGGCATGCCTAGAACAATTCTTACAAGTACAACATGATGTAGCTGGGCGCCGCGGACAGATGCAGAGCGGCACCGCCGGTGTGCCTATACTCATAGAAAATAGTGGTTGCAATTTATTTTTTAACTCTGTCCCTGAGCATTATAACCCCAATTTGCTATTGTGTGCTGCGCATTTTACTGAGGACAGCTTCCACAACATGAGGGAGTACAGTGCCTGCCGGATTCGCCAAAAAGCTTTTGTTGAAAGACGGAGCAAGGGGCGTGGCAGTACTGAAACACCGTCTAAGCTGTTCGCCAATCGTAATGCACTGGGAAAGCTAACCAATCACAACACATTTTGTTTTTCGGAAGGCGGACCTTCATCAAAGTTGGAACTAATCGAGCCGTTTGTGCCAGGATGGGGAGAAAGGTATTTTAATAATGTAAATCATGTGAAAAATAATGCGTTTTTCGAACCACCAAGTATGAGAGCATGTTCTAGTACACCCCCAAAACAAAATCAAGACTTTGTAAAAGAGCATAATAGGACCAATTTAAAGATCAATAGTTTTCCTCAATTGCAGTCCCAGTTTCTGGCTGTTGTGTAATGTTTGTGACCACTTATTAATTTATGCTGTTTTTAGGAAAATATTTATCAAACCTTGAAATTTATACTTTTGGCCATACTTTTTTTTATTGGTATTTTTGCCATTTTTTTAAAGAAAGACAGCACAAGCAAAATTATTTACAAAAAATGTATTAGGGTATACATTTTAAAACAATACAACCATTGTCAAACATAAAATGCATATATATAAAAATAAGATATAGTCTGTACTTGCCTCAATATTTTAGATGATTAAATTTTTCACTTGCATGTCCTTGACATTGATTCACATCACTAAATCTTCAATTCCCTTTCATGGGAACTTTGAACTGCGTCCTCTAGGGGTCGCTATGGGGAACGCCTCGTCGTGACCCATGTCTGAAGCATACATTGAAAAAACACCAACAACACATTGGCCGGTGACAGCCATGACGTCACTACCGGTGTGACTATAGTATAAATAGGCGCCGGGAGAACACATCATCCTCTTCTTCATCTTCACTGACTGTTTTGTTTGAAGCGTGCATTTCCGTGGTAAGAGCGATCTCTATTCATTCATTATGGCGAGCACTAGCAACGCATTTAGAAGATGTGTGCATCCGCGTCA